ATGTATTTGTAGTTAACTGTACCTACTTAACCGGACATTGAAAAGTAACTGTAACAGATAAAATATAATTTATGTTTATTTACTTTCTTAATGGAAACTACTTAAACTTAATGGTGTATGTGAATTTTTAATCACCACTCCGGTTCTTTGCGGAAATGAGATCTGATCACGAATTTGCACCGTTGAAAGTATACTCGTCAAAGAATATGTTATAGGTATAACTAGAATTTTTGGAAAATTCCAAATGCTGTGGTTAATAACTAGGCCTCTGGTCGAGAGTCCCGAATGGGGCCAAATTATAGAAAGGACTTTTTGGTTTTTCTAAAATCTTCAGTAGCACCTCGAATGGAATGATTACAGGGTACTTATGAAAATTAAAAATCTAATTAGTCCGTAAGTTAGGTAATGAAAAAATATTAGACACGTATTTTTTTTTATTTTGTCGTATAATAAAACAATACTTAGATAAAAAGGAATCAAAGTTTCGGAGTGACGGCTAAAACGTCATTTTTACGTATAAAATGTACATAGAAGTGACGTCACGCGACATTTCAAATCAATACATCGTCGAAAGTATTCAAACTCAAACTCAAAAGCATTTATTTCAATTAAACCATAATTTGGTACTTTTGAAACGTCAACAAATATGAAATAAATAATAGTCTGTCAGTCTATCCGTCAGTGAAGCTAGGCGCTCGTTCCAAAATGTCGATTCGAGTGGAGAAGAACGAGAAAGAAACTCCATTAGTTACTCTTTTAAAAAAAAGGCTGTTTATATACCCAGTAATACTTTGCTCGTCCCGGGTATCGAATCCGAGACCCCTTGCCCGGTAGTCGCACTTGCGACCACTCGGCCAATGAGGCAGTCATAGAATATCAAGTTTATCAAACATCAATTGTCATTCTCTTTGTCCCCAGAGTGATATGTCAACACGTAATACGGCCACATCGTTCCGCGCTCGCCGCGGCCACAAGGAGCGGTCAAAGAACTTCACGGAACTGGAGAAGCGAACAGTCCTCGAGCTGATCGCCCACCACAGGGACGTGCTGCGACAAGGCCGCTCCAACAACGCTACAAATAGGAGCAAACAGGTACGTACAGTCAACAAAGTAAGGTCGCTGTAAGTCAAAGCATTTATATCAATTAATCCTTACTTGGTCACTTTTGAAACGTCAAATTCCTTAGTCAGTCTATGGTGATTAATTTCAGTCGTCACACCCTTGCTTACTGCTAGAATAGTCTGTATGTATGTCTTCCTTTGGTAAAATATGTATTTTTAACCGACTTCAAAAAAATGAGGTTCTAAGTTTGACCTGATTTTAAAATAATGCCTCGTTCACCGAGTAGTCGCAAGTGTGACTGCCGGGCAAGGGGTCTCGATACCCGGCCAGAGCAAAGTATTACTGGTTTTTTTTAATTCTCAGTAGTAGCACGGAGTCTGGAATTGTGCCCGGTATATGGCAATAGGCTTACCGCCTATTACATGGGTCTCGTAACATAAATAGTGAAAAGTGGGTGTTACATTGTACAGTGGCATAATGTGCACCTCTGCCTACCCCTTCGGGGACAAAAGGCGTGATGTTATGTTTATAAAATAAATATTTTAGCACAATTTTAAAACCTTTGCATTTTCATCTATCAACCCTTTTAAGATAAAAGAAAACGTAAGCCCACTGCCGCACTTTTTGACCTTAAATCCTATTAACTACTGACCGAACTAATTGAGTTCCTCACAAACTTATCAATATTGTTAAAGATATGATAATATGATAAACAATCATATCACTACACCTTACGTAAGTGTTATCGTTATCATACAGTTACTGGTTAATGTATTATCTCTGTGTTTCGCTTCCGTGGTGGTTCAAAAGTTAATCGAAAATCGAAATTCTATAATGTTCCAAGTAGCGGATCATGTAGTGCAGAGATTGTCCAGTCAACAAGGATGTAGAGTAGACTGTCCAGGCGACACACGTACTTAGGTATCGTCATGAGCTAATGTTCACATGTAAACAGCAGCTCATGTAGGAAGAGTAACTTTAAGATAACTATGATAAGTCCTATTAAAGAGTTATTACAAGTACCTACTGTCAAAGAAACCAGAAATAAATAATAATATAAACATAATGACATAACATCATGCCTTTTTATCCCCGAAGGAGTACGCAAAGGGGCGCATTACAGCATTTAATGCTACTGTACAATGTAACACCCACTTTTCACTATTTATGTTTAAGTCCCATGTAATAGGGGGTGAGCCTATTGCCATATACCGGGCACAATTCCAGACTCGGTGCTATTACTGAGAAATGTTTAAAAATCCCAGTAATATTCTGCCCGACCCGGGAATCGGACCCGGGAATCGAACCCGAGACACTTTGCCCAGCAGTCTTACTTACGACCACTCGTCCAACGAGGCAGTCGACATAATAATTAACAAATTAATCACGAATTAATCTTTCAAACCTCTTCGCCGATAAATGCCGCATCAATCAAGGTTGACCATAATCTAATAATAATATTACATTATTATTTTTATATAAATATAATAACGACACGAGGCGATATGTCAACTCAGCGGTAACCATAGACAAGCAGTGTTTAGTTACCGCCATGTGTATGATTGCTTTCATTGCATAAAATCACCTAGCTTGCAATTTGTAATGCGCAATTTGGTTTACTAGTTAATTAGCACAGATTTGCTTGCGTATTTTATATGGATAGATTTTATATGTGGATGTATGAGCAATGAGAAATGGATGAGTTTTCCTTATGGGACAAGTCCGCCACAACCTCCCAAAACCGCCGCAACTCCTGTAAGCCAGGGTCTACAGTAGATACAACCATGCAAACACGAACAACTGTCTTTGATACAACCGAATTAAATTGGGCCTCCGGTAACCTCACTCACACGAGGAAACACAACGCAACGTTTCTGCTCGGCCGTGGTCCGTGGTACTCCGGTCGAGCTGGCCCATTCGTGCCGAAGCATGACTCTCCTGCACGGAGTCTTAATAACTTCTCTTATCTCTCAAATCTCTATCTTATAAGTTTGACTTATAAGCCAGTCCGCATTGAACAAGCGTGGCGAAACTGTAACTTTACTAAGTAATTCTTTTTCTAAGAAATAAATGGCGATTAACTATAAAAGTAAGATCATGATTAAAGAAAAGAAAAAAAAAGTAGATTGTGTATATAATTATAAGCTCATAACCTTTCGAAATAAAAAAATAAAAGTGACGCTTTATGATTCTTTATCTCAATACCAGTTTTGTTATAAATTTTATAGCATACATACAGACCGACTATTTAATAATTATTTATGTTTAGAATGGTATTTTAATTTCACTTCACACCACAATATTATTAATTTTGTAATTTTATACTTTAAACATAAACAATAGTAATAAAACTCCTTCGTGCTTAGGCTGTATAGCTAGCTACCTTTACCTTCATTCCGTTGATTTTAAAAACTGTAACTGTCAAAATTGAGCGGCAAAAATAATTATAAAAGAAAATCGTCTAATTTCGACCTTATTTCTGTAATGACGGATATTAAATGCGAATAAAATAAAAAAAAATGGATCCGCAGAACCAGTTGTATAATTACGTGAGTTCCTTTTTGTTTAAAACATTTTTCGTGTATGTAATCATAATTGATTTGTGTTACACGAATGGGCCGGCTCGACTCTCACAGAAAACGGGCGTGAAACAACTCTTGCGATGTGTAAACATCTTTCCTCCCAAATCCCTAATCCCCCATTCCTTAAATCCCTAATTCCTCCAAAAAGCGGCTACGCTTTTGTTACTCTTACAGGAGCGTCTGGGTGTGATGTGCATATAAAATTGTATAATATATGTAAACGCACCCTCGACACCAGATATTTTTTTTAATAATTATATACGTGACCATAGATACAAAGACACCAGAGAATATCCTACTGTGTTGCCACATTTAAAGAAAAATAATGGTTTTTTTTTAGTTTATTTTAATATATTTCCAGTTGGTGTGGTCGACAATATGCGAGGAGGTGAACAAACGGTGCGGAGGCGACCGTCCCCGCACTCCCGCGCAGGTCAAGATGTGGTACGAGAACTATAAGAAAAAATGCAAAATGCGCGCACATGACACACAGGTATGTAATAACCATATTATATGATAATAATCAAGACCACTTCGGTGGCCCAGTGGTCGCAAGTGCGACTGCTAGGCAAGGGATCTCGGGTAATAATATTATTTTTGTACACCACATAGACATAAGGTACAACAAATAAATGGGCGGTCTTATCGCACAAGGCGATCTCTTACAGACAACCTTTGGATGGAGCTGTAATAGGATTACAAGGTTAAAAACCCAGTAATACTTTGCCCGACCCGGGAATCGAACGCGAGACCCCTTGCCCGGTAGTCGCACTTGCGACCACTCGGCCAACGAGGCAGTCACTAGTCAGTTGAATAAAACTTAAAGTTTATTAAACATGCAATGAACATTTCGGAGTGGACCTCTACCGATTGTATTTCGAGTATAAAGTAATTTTTAATAGAACAAGAAGTTGTACAAATTTTATCAAATTGAGATTATATTTATGCTCGACCAGTGGCAATGACAGGTAGAAATCGTATTACTGTTTATATTTTGTCTGCCATAAGTGAAAAACCTGCAAAATAAACGATTTTATGTCTATAACTAGCTACTTCCACGCGGTTTCACACAGTCTGCTTAGCTCCTATTGGTCGCAGCGTGATATTTTATAGCCTATAGCCATCCTCGATAAATGCGCTATCCAACACAAAAAGAATTATTCAAATCAAACTTGTAGTTACGGAGATTAGCGCGTTCAAACAAAAAAATAAACTCTTCCGCTTTATACATATAATACTAGCTTTCAATATGATAAAAAGTAACCTAAGTGACATATACTAATACATACAGCGCCATCTATACCAATACTTTTGTTTTCCCTCTAGAATATCAAATTTTTTAGAGATAAAATCTACCCTATTATTTAATCCAGACTTCTAACATTACGTCAGCATAAATTCAAAGCAATCGGTTCAGTAGTTATGACGTAGAAGCGGAACACACAAACAAACAAACTCACTTTCCGATTTATAATATTAGTAAGGATAGTATGATAAGGATTGTTAACATTGCACAATTATTGGATGGTACTTAAGCTGTAGGGGTTGCTATATTCCTCACCGGACATGGGAGTTTCGGGAGGTACCTGTGTCTGATAGGGCGGGAGGAAACGTCCGGGTGTCATCACTGCGAGGACCGCCCTGAGGACACGGTGGAACACACTGTCGCGGAATGCCCTGCGTGGGCTGAGCACCGCCGTACCCTCAGGGAAGTGATCGGCGATGGCGACCTCTCGCGTCCGGGCCTAGTGCAGGCCATGATGCGGAGCGAGGGGGACTGGGATGCCGTCTCCTCCTTTTGCGAAGCAGTCATGCTAGCTAAGGAGGAGGCGGGACGCGTGAGGCAGCGAAGCGCTGCCTCCTCGCAACCCAGCCATCGCGAAGGACACACAAAAAAAAAAAAAAAGGGTTTGCTATATGAACGGCGTGAGGCGCCCTCATTGATTTCCATTATTATTTAGACAAAATATAATTTTATACTAAAATCTGTTTGTATATTTGTTTCAGCAATCGCAGTCGGAACCGCCAGGCCTGCTGGACGGCATGCTCTGGCAGAATATACACCCTCTAGACGTAAAAGGTATGTCCACTACTTATTTATAAAGTTCTAAAGTTAATTCAACGAAGATAACATGTAGCCAAAGTAGGAGAGCCATGCTTCGGCACGAATGGGTCGGCTCGACCGTAGCGATACCACGTCCGAGCAGAAAACCGACGTGAAACAACGCTTGCGTTATGTTTCGTCGTGTGAGTGACATTACCGGAGGCCCATTTACCCCTCTTCCCCTTCCCCAATCTACCTAAACCCTTAATGACCAACAATCCTCAAATTCCTAATCCCCAAAAGGCCGGTAACGCACTTGTAACGCCTCTGGTGTTCCAGGTGTCCATGGGCGACGCCGATTGCTTACTTGTCCGTCTGATAGTTTACCGGATTGTACAATTAAAAAATAGCATTTTTTGTTCGCGTGTAATAGTCTCAGCCCCTATTTTTTTTTATGGCATAAGCCGGTAACCGAACAGATGGATCACCTGATGGTAAGCAATAGGCCTCGCCCATGGACACCTGGAACACCAGAGGCGTTACAAGTGCGTTACAGGCCTTTTGGGGATTAGGAGTTTGAGGATCGTTGGGGATATAGGGATTGGGGAGATTGGGGAAGGGGAGGGTAATTGGGCCTCCGGTAACCTCACTCACACAACGTATTACATGGGGCTCATAACATAAATAGTGAAAAGTTGGTGTTACATTGTACAGTGGCATTAAGTGCCATAATATGCATCTCGGCCTATCCCTTCGGAGATAAATTGCGTGATATAACATCATGCGATTGTGTGTGTTGATGATAGAGATTTGAATTCAAAATTAAAGTTGTACAATAATTGTTGTTGCATCCGATTGCAAGAGCGCTGTCATGGCCGCCGGCTCTAGTGAGGGGGAATAGTCGGCGAAAGTGATGGGACGAACGAAGCCGAGTTCTTTAACAGTGTGTAAATAAATAAACGTTACATTACAGACGAGGACGGCGAGCCGACTACGAGCGCGGACGGTGGCCACAGCGTGAAGGATGACGACTGCGTGCCGGTCAACGTGAGTCCCGCACACTATGTATACCGTCACTCACTTACTTACTTATTCTAATTTAGCCCTTATTAACCCGTAAGGTCATCTCATACGCGACCGGCACCAACCCAACAATAAGTCTTTTTTATGTTTTTCGGCTTACTCACGTAATAATTTGACGAGGAACTCGACTAGTTTCAAGCCATGCTAGAGACTCATATTCATGAGCAGCATTCCGCGACCGACGCGGTGACTGTCGCGCTGCTACCTAAGCCGCTAGCGTAGCTTGAAACTAGTCGAGTTCCTCGTCAAATAATTGGGATTATGTCAGGGTATGAAAATTAAAAATATAATTAGTCCGTAAGTTAGATAATGAAAAAATATTAGACACGTATTTTTTTATTTTGTCGTATAATAAAAATATATTTAGATAACATGAATCAAGGTTTAGGAGTGGGGGGCTAAAACGTCATATCTACGAATAAAATGTACATAGAAGTGACGTCACGCGACATTTCAAATCAATATATCGTCCAAAGTATTCGTTACTGTAAGAAAATAAAAAATACGTGTGTAATGATTGAAAATAATCTACCAGACGGACATTAAAATAAAAATTAGGCATCTACAGTATTATTTGACGAGGAACTCGAGTAGTTTCAAACCATGTTACAGGCTCATATTCATGAGCAGCATTCCACGACCGACGCGAGACTATCGCGCTGCTACCTAAGCCTCTAGCATGGCTTGAACCTAGTCAAGTTCCTCGTCAAATAATTACGTGAGTAAGTCGAAAAACATAATAATCAATTTAGTATGTCTCAAGTAAGATAAATGAACTTGTCATTTAAATTTGAACTTTAAATCTTATGTCGTATGAGTTATTTCATAACGTCAATAGAAAGAATACATTTTGGTAATGTTTTCTAAGCTAAAATAGTCGTGTTCGTGCCGTTACTGTGTGCGATGTTCCTTACTCTAACTTACAGCTTGGCAAAAAGGAGTTTGGAATAATTGAGGTCGCTAGTATCGTACCTTTTTTTAAGCGGGAAAAATCATCGAGTGACTGCTCCCGCCTGGGTGAGGCGGGAGGGAGTGTCAGACTCTTACTGACTAAAAACCACCCCGTACCTACTCTTGCACTTCGAGCCGGAACCCCGGTAACCCGTTAGGTTCTCCGCGACTAGTATCGTGCCTGTGGCCACCTGGTACACTCCGGTTTTGATATTTGTTATTTTTATCGAGTTTAAAAAGAGGACGTACTATGTTCGGATGATTGTTTATTCATGGGATGTGGTCGCTAGTGTCACTGCCTGGCAAGGGGCCTCGGGATGGAATCCCGGGTTGGGCAAAGAATTACTGAGTTTAAAAAAAATCTCATTAGTAGCACGGAGTCCAGAATTGGGTAGTTTCCTGGTTCAAAAATAAATTATTTAGATTTTTCAGTCCAATTAAATATTGAAAAATAGTTACACTTTGATTCATTGACTTGACGATATACTTACTTAATTTAGATTTATTCTCGCATTTTTAAAAAATATAGGTGTGCTATTATTTGACGCGAAAATATGATGACGTCATAAGGTGGCATTTCGTACAAAATTCTTAGAAGAGTATCGTTTATGACGTTTCGATAAAAGTATTGAATTTGACTAGTTGTCAACTGCCGTATTGTGCCCGGTATATGGGCATAGGCTCACCCCCTATTACATGGGACTCGTAACATGAATAGTGAAAAGTGGGTTTTACATTGTACAGTGGCATTAAGTGCCGTAATGTGCTCTGTCTACCCGTTCGGGGATAAAAGCCATGATGTTATGTTATGTTTGTGGATGATTCAGTCCTTCTTAGTCGATATTAGTTCCAGCTGTCACCGCGTCAAACTCTTTTTTGCCAAGCTGTATTTGTGTTTACCCTTATTGTTACCGCTTCTTACCCCTACCTAATGTAACTAGTTCTTGCTTGCACTTACCCTAAATTACGACTGTTTGCTCTTATTGTTAAATTCTCCTACTTTCTTAAACTTAAAATCACTTATTATTCGTGCAGTACGAATGAATTTGTTTTTTTGTTTGTTTAATGTTCCTATTAAGAGCTAACTCAATGTTACTTAATACTCTGAGTAAAATTAATAGGTCTACTCCTGACTATGATTTAGATTCCTATAATAAAAATAACTAACACACAAAAATAAACCCTCTTCCAGATGTCAAACGGTCGACTATCAAGTACGAACGAAAGCGAAGATACGATGCCGAACGTCCTCGAGCCCCAAGTACAAATAATCCCCCAGTCTTCCCCCACCCCACCCCCTCACAAACCGCTGCCCCTCACACCGCTCCCCATCCCCCCAATCCCCATCCTAACCAACCCCCTCCAAGCCATAGAACAAGCGAGAATACAACAAAACTTCTTACAGAAATTAAACGAACTATCAAATACGCCACTAAATTTGAGTAATTTAGATGAAATGAAAAGAAAAAATGGTCATGAACGACAGGATAAATCGGAGGATCAGATCAAACATGATTGCGGTACGGCGACCGAGGAGGAGAGGTTATATTTCACTGCGAAAAGACAACATGCTATATGGGAGCATGAAGCTAAAATGAAAATCTTAAATATGGAGCTAAGACAAAAAGAAGAAATATTCTCGTTGCAAAAACAACTGTTTTTAATCGAGTTACGGTTGAAAATGGATTTCCTTGAGAAGGCCAGCGCTAAATGATGGGGTGAGTCTTTTTTTAAACTTAAACGATCTTATTACATTTTTCGCCACATTTAGTGCTATATTTCACCGGGACACCATGGCGGCGCTACCAACAAAATGTATGCAGCTCTATTGAGAATTATTCACCTGGTGTCCTCTTGGTTGCGCAACCAATCTGACCAACCTTAGAAGCGTGCATTAGAGGTCTATTTTGATACCGTCGCAGTGCGATGTTGCGACTCGTATGATGTCTAGTTTGGTAGCTTATGAACACCATGGTGGCGCGACTGATTACGCCGCCGTAGTATCCCACTATAGCCCTGAGGATGGTTTTAGTGTCAGCCGCACCCAGCCTTACCACCTCACGTGACGCACCTTAGGAAGCGTTTTTGAATGACGCGTAGCTATCAACGTGGTCGGTTCCTGGAAGTTCATATTCCTCGGCTGTCAGCGCCGACGGTCAGCATGCGATCAGCGCGACACTAAGGCTGATTTTAGAGTCACGCTGACCGTCGGCGCTGACAGCCGAGATGTTTGAACTTCCAGGAACCGTGCGCGCTGATTAGCTACGCGTCAGTCAACAACGCTTTCTAAAAGTTCATATATTTCAGTCATCAGCGCTGAGGGTGCGCGTGCCATTAGCGTAAGACTAAAATCAGCCTGAAACCAGCCTTACCCTTTGCGCGTGTTTCGTAAGAGCTGACTTGTCCCTTAAGTTATTAATCAAGTGTGGTTATTATGTAGAGGATGCTCATAGGCCAGAAGTGGAATGTCACAGAATGTACATTATAATGATGATGATGAACGGTGTTGGCAGTGCTTCTTTTGGGCAAGTGGCCTCGGGTTCATGCCCTGAATCCCGTAAAGTAGTATGAGCATAATATCAGTTATGTTAAAGAGTTTCTAATGGGATAAGCCTGTAAGCAGACGGATCACCTGATGGTAAGCAATCGACTGGCCATAGACACTCGCAACACCAGAGGCGTTACAAGAGCGTTTTTGGCCTTTTAAGGATTAGGAATTCGAGGATTATTGGCGATTCGGGGATTGGGGAGATTAGAGAAGAGGGGTAGTAGGGCAAGCGTTGTTTCACGTCGATTTCTGTGGGTACCATATAACGTATAAACTTATCAATATTTCCAAAGGAAGTTTTTGATTTTTTCAAATGTCCATTTTGCAATCCTCAGAAAGCGCCGCCCAAGGAAACGTCATCGAACCGTTTGTTTTTTTTTTTAATAAAAAAAACAACGAGCAAAGGAAATGAGCCGCACATCCGAGTGTAATCTAGTTTTAAAAAGTGCCATCTATCGTGTAGTTACCGAATTAATTCCTTTCATTTTCAGTTTAAGTAGTTAAACTACTAAAACGATCCATTAAAATTATAAATAATGTTATTTTTTAAAAAGGAGTTTGCAATAATACTTAATACAGGGTAAAGGCACCAATTGCTGTCGCATACTGTTGGCCAGCTGTTGGTCCGTTTACCTCATTGTGCAATGTGACGTGTGAAGGCCATTCGTCACATTTGAGGCCATAGACCAGAGTCTAGGCTATTAACAACGAGATATAAGCAATATTAAGATAGATGCCGCCTTAAGGCCTTAACTCTTAGTATTTAAAAAATAAGTGGCCTTGTTTGGCCTTCTTTCAATTGAAATTACTCTAATGTTAAGGCCAAATTATAGACATTTAGTCAACAGAGATGTGTGGGCCTGGTCTAGGCCTATTGGTCTAGCAAAGACTCTATTCTATGGTCTCAAAAGGCCAAGTTTCAATGTGATTACGAAGTTATTTTTGTATTCGTTATACATTTGTCTATAGCTTATTTTTTATGTTTTTTTTTTCGTTAGAATAAGAAAAGTGCTTAAGTTCGTAAAACGCTGCGATTTTTATAGTATTATCTGTGGCAGCTCATTGTGAAGCTGAATGTGTCAAATGTTGGTGTCATTTGTCTCAATTTTACACAATCGACATTATATTTTGTTAAATTATAAACAATTTAAATAGTTGAACAAGGGTAATTGATTATTATAAAAGAATATTGTCAATAAACAATTTCCCTCCATAATCGAACTGTCAAAACGAAAAAACGCGCGAAACATCAATATTTGACACATGACAGCTATTAGATAAATACTGCCAAAATAAAATGGAGTTTCGCAATAAAAGGTCTATGAAAGTAGTACTTAGGGGCCGCAAGTCTGTCATTATAATTCGTCGGGGTCAGTAGCTATATTCACGAAGTATTTTTCAGAATTTTAACAACAAAAAATACTTTAGTCGAGTTTTAAAAAAATCGTCTAAATAGAACTTGGACCTGTTTTAAAAATATTTCGTGAATGTAGTTGTAATTCGGAGACGATTCAAGCATCGTGTCAGTTATAACGGTGGCCGTATTTTTTATAAACGTTGTTGAATTATTCTTTACACCTAGTGTTGTTCTCATATTGATAACATTTTAATTAGATCGATATTTTTAATACATACTGGTAATGAACAACTGGATTTAGTTTCAACGTGCTCAATGTTTTTAGCTGCGTTTATAAACAATACGAAGGTATTTAACCTAGTCTTAAAATTGTATTTTCTGTATGGAATAGTTATTGTACAAAAGAGTTCCGAACTTAATCAGTATTTAAAAAATATGTATTAATATTTAAAAAAGATGCATGAAAAGACATGTCGGTGTTGCCAATTTCGGGATTTATAAATTCTTGCCATCCTTCAAGTATTATTTATCTAAATTCTTAGTTCGAACTCTTTGTAATACCGCATCTTATATGGTCAAGTTAAGGTTTGTGATATTTATTATGGCTTTGGATTGGTGATATTGAAAACGGGCGTTAGTCTCTATATCTTAAGATATAAACTCCGTTAACGCCGTGGATGTACCGTAGTCGATGCGGCTCTAACTAGTCCATACATTATTTCGAGTCAATGACGTGCCAATAATCGAAAACCATTGTTAATAATAATAATAATAGTTATTACATATATAAGATATTGTTATAATAGATATTTAGATACGTAAAGAAAATTAGACAAACAATTATTGGACAGTATGATGATATTATTAATATTAATAACTTAGACAGGAAATATAAATACAGTACAAAGACTTCAGATAGAAGTCGTTACCTCAGTGCAGTGTATTGTAAATAAATAAATAACTAGGCTTAGATGTAAAATATAAAATTTTAGAAATTTTTTATACGAGGGCGACTTACACCTTCAAATTTTCATAATTTTCGCATTCAAACTCTGTTGCCAGATCACAAAATTTTATTATTAACACCCTCTATCTGGCAATACTAAATTTTAAAACATGTAAATATAAATTTTATTTAATTTTAGAATCCTGTCAATATGGCAATAAATAGGTGTAAGCACCTCAAAATCATGGCAATACTTTTTAAAATATTTTAAAATGGCAATGTAACATTGTGATGTATTTTACGATCTCAATACAGATTAAAAAGATATTTTTTTTACCTCCGACAAAACTGTAAAATTTTAGAAAAGAAACTTGCAATTGTATAAAATACATTCTTTTTTATTCGAAGCGACTACGTTAATCTGATAAAATTGGATATTATTAAAATAAAGAATTTATTTTCTGTTCCGATGTTTTTTATTTAAGCCCTTATAGCTTTTATTAACGGGAGCAATATGCATGTATTATACATATAAATCTTACAGAATCACTGTATTAAAATCCGTTACGTAGTTTTAAAGATCTAAACATACGTAGGGACAGACAGACGGCGGATAGTGTCTTTTTTAAACAATGTAGTGATTGTAATCACTTCAAACAAAGAAAGGGTACTCTAACAGTCTACTTTTCTACCATCAGTTATGTTTTTTAGTTTTTCTTCGTATTTAGTCGCTACTCGCTACATCTTGAAAATAAGTAACATAACATAAAACATCACGCCTTTTTATCCCCGAAGGGGAAGGCAGAGTTGCCACTACAATATAACACCCACTTTCCACTATTTATGTTAAGAGCCCCATGTAATAGGGGGTGAGCTTATTGCCCAAAAAGTATAATAAGTATAGGGGAACTATTGCCATACACCGGGCACAATTCCAGACTCCGTGGTACTACTGAGATTAAAAAAAAAGGTAATACATTGCCCGACCCGGGATAGTAATGGCTAAAATCTATAAAAACTAAAGTATTAACAACTAAATTAACATGATAAGTTAACGCATCATAAAAATTATCCTCATCATTATCATGAGCTTGTGCCCAAAAGACTGGCAGCATTGCCACATTGGATGGCAATGCCTATCTAACCTTTGACTAAGTTACTAGCCAGCCTTTCGATCACCTGAAGTGTCAACCATCTTTTTTACAATATCTTTGTAAAGAAGATGTGCTGCTCCTAAAGTTTTGACCGCAACTGGTTCGAATGCATAAGTCAATCGGGCTATTATACTTTCGCCGTTTGAGGTTCTCGGCATCACCGGCTCTACACCCTGAGCTTGGAAGATGAGATGGCGCAAGAGTATCAACGCAAGTGGCATCCCATCTTCCGAGGGAACAAAAACATACCGTTGGGTTTCTTGCCATCGTCGTGTACTCTAAGGTAGCTGGCACGCCGACGGAGACCTGATGAATAATTCTTGCGTGTCGAGCAAAACAACCTGCACTGCGGCTACATGATAGGCCGTGGTGTCCAAGGCTGTTGACATGTTCACCACAAAGACATCGATGAGGTGAACAAAATAGAACCCAAATTCGGAAACAGACTGCTCCAGTGTCGTCCAACAAAGTGCTACTAGGTTAGACGAAGGCAAAGCAAGTCATTAATTAATACTTCAGACTGGTTTTAACTATTAAAAAATACAAATTAAAGACAATTTATTTTGCAAAAAATTATTTTCATTTCCATAGACGTGCAATAAAGTCTGTAGTTCAAATACAGTTTTTTGAGAACACTTAGTCGATTTTCAATACAATACAATTTTAGTCGATTAGTAATGTAGGATTTCTCTAGCTGTAGGTACAAATGAATGACAGCTTGACATTTAGGGTCGCGTCATTTTTAGAGTTATTTGTTGTTCTTCGTCTATTTAGCAAAAATACGAAATAAATTCTATTCTACTAAAAATTGAATATGGAAGTTAGTATAGATACATTTGATAAAATATGCCGTGTCTGTTTAATACAATGTGCCGATATGAAATCCCTGTTTACAAAAATAGTCGAAGAAAAACGCAACTTGTTTGAGATTTTAGGATTTACTGCAAATATTAATATTAACTACGAGGATCCTCTGCCGAAACAGGTTTGTAGTGAATGTGAGACGGTCATGTGCAAGGCTGATGCATTTAAACGCCGTTGTCTTAACTCTGACACGATTTTAAACGAGATTTACCAAAATTCTTTGATCGTCGACGATCCTTCTTTAAACGACAAGAAATGCTCAATAAAGGATGAAAATGGGGATTTAGCTGATAAATTAAGCTCGTATGTTACTTCTGAAGTTCCAAACACGGCAGATTACGATACACAAGATCACTTTGACAAGAAAAATGTTGTGGTACATGATACTTCGGTTTTTGCTGTTACTGGTGGTAATTTCTGTGAACAAACTGACACTGGAGTATCAGTACACCCTGAACAATTGGTTAAAGAAGAGATGAACCTTAATTTTGATGAAGATATAGGATTTCCTGACCATTATGATGATGAAATGCCATGTACTACATCTCCAAATGATTTGAAAGAACAAGCACCTGAATATTCAATGTACAAATGTCAATGCGGCACAACATTTCAAGAAAAAGACAAATACGAAAGCCATAAAAAGCAAAAATGTAAAAATAAGAAAGTTATAATTAAAAAAAATAAAATTGTAAGAAAAAATATTGAATTCGGCTGTGGAGTATGTAGTTCTAATTTTAATAATTTGAATGCTTTAAAACAACATCAACAAGTACACTGTAACGAAATTGATACTAAGCCGCAAGTACATATTTGTAAATTGTGCTTAGTCCCGTTCAAAACGAAGTCTGCGTTGAGTAGCCATATAAAAAAGCATGAAAAAACTGTAAATAGCAAGTCTGAAACTTACCAATGCTCATTTTGTTTACGGAAATTTAAGAATAAGTCTTCGTTGTCCACTCATATGCAACGCCATGAACAGACGGACAGTATAAAACATACATGCAAAGTGTGTAAGAGAGAATTTAAGTACAAAGCTTATTTAGATAATCATATTTCGACAATGCATTCAAGAAAGAACGGAATTAGTTGCGAATTGTGTGCTCAGAATTTTCCCAGCGAAGAGAGTTTGGAGTTACACAGAGATAGTCATAAGAATGAGAAAAAGCATCGCTGTACGGTTTGCAATAAAGGGTTTTTGATGTTGTGTACTCTTAAAGAACATATGCGTACTCATACGGGTGAGAAACCGTTCTTATGTTCACAATGCGGACGAGGGTTTAGTCAGAAAACTAACTTAGCGCAGCACATGAGAAGGCATCAGGGCTTGAAGCCGTTTAAATGTGAAAATTGTGAAAAAAGGTAACGCTTAAGTTTAATTTTTACTTTATATTTTACCCGTGGCTTCGCTCGCGTCACAAAAGGATAAAAAGTAGCCTCTGTGTCATATACCAATACACACAGCGCCATCTATACCAATACTTTTGTTTTCCCTCGGGAATATCAATTTTTTCTGGGATAAAAAGTACCCTATTATTTAATTCGGACTTCTAACTTTACGTCTGCAAAAATTCAAAGCAATCGGTTTAGTAGTTACGGCGTGAAAGCGGAACAAACAAACAAACTCACTTTCCGATTTATAATATTAGCATGGATTGATTCTAGCTTCTGCCAGCGGCTGTTGCAAATTTCATTGTGATCCCTTCAGCCATTTCGACGTGTTGTCACAACCTACCATTTATAATATGAATTAGGATTTTTCTATCTTGTTAATCGAGTACTGAAGCTAAGCAAGATTAGTTGATTGGTTTTGATTTTCGAAAATTCTCACTAATAGCATTGTTTTTGAAATAGAACTTGTGCATAAACAATTTAATGTAATATTCAAAGGAAGTCTTGTTGCCCTTTTTTTCTTATATTATCGTCTGATTTATTTTATTACTTAAGAGATCCAAAATAGTTGTTCATGTCCCTGGGACGCGCTTCAGAGTGTTAGTGCACAAAAGTTGCAGTGGTTTTAGAAGGCTGTGGTGTGCTTGTCCCATAACTATATCAAACACGTCCAGAATCCAAATACTTATTCTACAAGGAAACTGAACTGCCCCGATTTCGATTCTTACATACCTAAAACTGAATTATCAAATATAACAAATTATTTACAGATTCGTATCCAAAGGTGAATTGGACGCTCACAACAGGAAACACAGTGGAGCACACCCCTTCGTCTGTGATGACTGTGGCAACGGCTTTACAACTTCAAGCGCTTTGGTCAAACACAGACGCATACACACCGGAGAGAAACCCTACCAGTGTGACCTTTGCCCGATGAGGTTTGCAGCTTCAGGGACTCTTAAAAACCACCGAAGAACTCATACAGGTGAACGGCCTTTCCAATGTTCGTACTGTGAGAAAGCTTTTGTGCAACGCAATGATTTGATTTCTCATATCCGCTGTCATACGGGTGAGAAACCTTATATTTGTATGCAGTGTGGACAGTCGTTTAGGAAGGCTTCAGGGTTGAAGAGCCATGTGAAGATGCATGTCAAGGAACCGGTGTTGATGCCCGGTGTGAATGCAATGTTGAACGGTATGCACTGTGCTGAGCAGTGAATGGTGGGCATATTATCACATACCAGGGGGCTTGCTCTTGAATCCAATTCCGATCCATCGACATTGGTATTGTGTAATTTCGTACTCTTGAGTTGCAACACTAGCGCCCGTTGCATCCGTATTGCGTGGATATTGAATGAATTAAATGGTATTGAGTTTAACATTATATTGCGTACTCTGAATGCTATTTCAACAGCTACGATAGGGATTGTATAGTTTTGACATTGAATAATTATTGAGATTTTATTGGATTGAAATTGCATTGACATTGAGATTGGTTTTAAGAGTAAGCCCCCGAGCCGTGTTATCCCTATGGCGGGTTAGTCCAGGTCCTAGGGCGCCAGATTACAGAGACGTACTGGCGGCGGCGCCAATAATAATTAGGGGCGTCTATGAGGTGCATGCCTAGAGTTAGGCAGTCTAAGTTTAAGCACTAGGTAGTTCAGGCTGATATTCTGTAAAAGAGTGGTATTTATATGGCTGGCACATTCTAGTTGCGTAAAACATCTGAGCTTTACCGTCATGTAAACTTTATTATCGTGCCGTATCAAACTCAAAGCATTTATTGCAATTAAACCATATTGTGGTACTTTGAAACGTCAACAAATACAAAATATAGAATAGTCTGTCAGTCTGTCCGTCAGTGAAGCTAGGTGCTCATTCCAAAATGTAGATTCGTGTTATTTATCCTTATTATAATATTATAAATCGGAAAGTGAGTTTGTTTGTTTGTTTGTTCCGCTTTCACGCCGTAACTACTAAACCGATAGCTTTGAATTTTTGGAGACGTAAAGTTAGAGGTCTGGATTAAATAATAGGGTACTTTTATCTCGGAAAAAAATATATTCTCTAGGGAAAATGAAATTATTGGTATAGATGGCGCTGTGTGTATTGGTATACTGTCATATAGGCTACTTTTTATCCTTTTGTGACGCGAGCGAAGCCGCGGGTAAAAGCTAGTACCTACTATATATTTATATAGTTAGTATTATTAATTATCTGTTTTCTTCCTGTCCTATCCCAGGCTGGTTTCTTGGGTTCGGCAAAATATAATATCTTCTTCCATTCACCTCTGACCGAAGATTAATTTTATCTTTTTATTATATTTTAAGGATGATATTATTATTATTTTATTTATGAATGAATAATCATTTATTATAAAAGAAATAATAAATAACGCATTTATCGACCGTCCGAAAAATAATGAGTCTTTTTTTAACTTGAATAAGTATTAGCAAATATTTTTAATAAAATCAGTATGATTATAATAATTATGGTAATATATTGAACATGATTCAGCAACTGTTCTCCTACGAGAACGGTTGCTGAATCATTGAATATATCGCATCGAATGATTGTATGAAACTCTAGTATTATATATTATTATTGTGTGTTTTAATTGTAAATAGTTAGTATTAAATAAGTACATTTAAGTATGGGACCAATGTGTGATGATTGTATTAATTTTAATACTTTTTTGTGTTAGCCATAATTATGTATATTTTTAAATAAACCACTTGTACCTTGCATGGCAGCTCATTTAAGACCAACATAACATAACATGACATCAAAACTATTTATCCCCGAAGGGGTAGGCAGAGGTGTACATTACGGCACTTAGGGTCGATTTTTCAATCAACAGTTACTGTAGAATAATTGAGGTTTGTCAGTTTTTAGTATGGAAGGATTGTCAAATATTCAATGCTTTTCCACAGATGAAATTTATCTGGCGTCGGAAACATCGGCCCTTAATGTCACAATGTAACACCCACTTTCAGTATTTACGTTATGAGTCCCATGTAATAGGGGGTGAGTCTATTGCCATATACCGGGCACAATTCCAGGCTCCGTGATACTACTGAGATTTTTTTTTAAATCCCAGGTATACTTTTCCCGACCCGGGTATCCACCCCGAAACCCCTAACCATGTCGCACTTGCAACCACTCGGCTAACGAAGCAGTCCAACAAGGCCAACATCAATGTGAAGTGTTTGTACCTATAGAAACTACAAGACTAGCTCTTGCTTTTCTCTCACTCTAATTACTGACAGTTCTGATTGATAACAAGAGGATAGAAACGCAAAAATGTGCTATTTGGGGCGGCCAGACGCCTTGTACGAGTTTGTTTCAAGTATAATGTACCCGAGACCGCTTTCGTCGCTCTGATTGGCCGGCTCCAATGAGCCATTCAATCAGATCGCCGAACCCGGTCTCGATTGGATTATTTTAAACAAAAATTAAACTCGTACTAAAGCCTTAAATGTAGTTTTAGCTTCGTGGTTTATTTACAAATATTTCACATTGATCTTGACCTGGTAAGAAATTATCCAACAAGGATGTAGCGTAGACTGTCCAGGCGACACACGTACTTAGGTATCGTCAAGAGCAAATGTTCACATGTAAACAGCAGCTCATGTAGTGCAGAGATTGTCCAGTCAACAAGGATGTAGCGTAGACTGTCCAGGCGACACACGTACTTAGGTATCGTCATGAGCTACTGTTCACATGTAAACAGCAGCTCATGTAGTGCAGGCAGAGATTGTCCAGTCAACAAAAATGATGCAAAAGATAATTTGTTAATATAATATGATGTACCTAATTGTGTATGTATTATAATTTAATAGATAATATTTTATGTAAATCAAAGACCGTGTATTGTGACAACGCGAATAAAATTATACTTTTAAGAAAACAACGTTTTTTTTTTATTTTAATAACCCTTGTACCTATGTTTTTGTTTTCCCTCCAAAAAACGATTAATGCTTACGTCGGTATTTTGTCTTTATCAATTCAAAACTTTAAAAAATCAACTGACTGCACGGCTGGCGTCCCTGGGCAAGTGGCTGCCGTGCAACGTGTAGCTGGTTCGATTCCCGCACGGACCAACTCTTTGTGTGATCCACAATTTGTTGTTTCGGGTCTGGGTGTCATGTGTATGTGAATTGTGAAATTGTGTGTTTTGTAAAAGTATCCACGATACAGGTGTAAATCCTAGTGTTGGGTGGGTGGGGTTAAAAAAAATAAAAATATGGCAAGAAAATATATTATTTCATATCATATGATATCTTTACGATAATCTTTGGGACAGCTCGGCTAAATATCAGCTGGACGCGTTAAATAAAATACAATAATGTTCTAAACATAAACCTATTTACCAACTACAAAATTATTACGTTCATCCTTAGTTTATATTTAGATATTTTTTTAAAATTCTTTACATAAATTATCTTTTGAAATTATAAATTCCATTGCAGTGTGTCATCAGCATCACCCTAACTTTTATCTACAGATACATAATATTCTATCGTATTTTTGTAGGTAGGTATGGTATATAACAAACGCACAGACGCGTCGCGGGCACCCGCCGAGAGTCGAACGAACGCATATACGAGTTTTCGGCACACGAAAAGGGCAAACATTGAACGCAATAGTGCGTGCACTGTAGCTATGACTACAAATTTGGGCACTGAAAAAAAACACAGGGCAATGAATGCGTTAAAGTACATCGAGAGGCGTGCCAAGAGGCTCATCAACGATGATGCGCTTGTAGAGGCCCGGCTTCAAGGCGTAGGTAAGGTTGCAAGGCTTTCGATTTTCTACCAAAAGCTATGTACGTTTCAAATAATATTGATGAAAGAAGCAGGGAAAAGGTATCTGGTTTAAAACTCTCCAATGTCAGTGTTTTATGCTGAATGTAAATTAAATAGGATAGGTATTGTATCATTATTCCGATTGCGAGCTGGACATTATCCCACATAAAGTTTAAGTAGTAACTATTAAGTAATCTGCGATTTCGAATTGCATAAGAAAGAAGTAAATTTACCTAACTGTGAAGTATGTGGCTAGTTAGATGATGTTTATTATAAGCTGGTGGAGTGTGTTAAATTTAAGGTGGCGAGGGACTCACTGATTCTACATTTTAATATAAAGAACTATGATTTGTTGGGATCCTTATCTAGTATTTTTTTTTTAATCTTTATTTAATAAGAAGGGCTTTTTTGGCTGACGTAGTTTAGTAGGTTAAAAGCCCCTAAAAAACACAACGAAGGAATTGCACAACTTGATTCCTCCTAGTCCTTTCCATCATCGTACCACAAGACAATCGGCGAAGCGTCACCGATTCGTATTTTTTTTTTCGATTCATGGTAGATGTCCCACCCACACGAAGTACGAAGCGCTTCGCATCAAGCTTCCTTGTGCGTACTGCTAAGGAGTGGAATTCTTTGCCAGAGTCTGTGTCCTGAAGGGTATAACCTGGGAGTCTTCAAGGCCCGAGTGAATAGGTTACTTATGGGTGATATTTTGTTCTTTTTCTTTGTTCGTGTCATGTTACGCACAGTGTCTTAGTTTTTACTGTTTTTCCTGTCGAAGGACTGCAGGAAGAGATTCCTACGGGAATATGTAGTTCCTATGTACCTCCAATTTATTTATATATGTGTTCTCCTGTGTACTGTCTGTGTGTTGTGCATAAATAGATAAATAAAAATAAATAAATAAATGCCACTTTTACTTAAAAATCGAGTCTAGATGCAGAAGAAGAGTGAAGCGTTCGATTCTGCTTCCCTGGTACTTTTCAGACCATCGGATAATAATAATATTTTACTAATATAAGCTGTGTAGACTGCCTCGTTGGCCGAGTGGTCGCAAGTGCGACTGCCGGGCAAGTGGTCTCGGGTTCGATTCCCGAGTCGAATAAGTTTTTTCTAAAAAGATCTCCGTAGTAGCATGGAGTCTGGAATCGTGCCCGGTATATGGCAATAGGCTCACCCCCTATTACATGGGACTCATAACATAAATAGTGAAAAGTGGGTGTTACATTGTACAGTGGCATTAAATGCCGTATGTACAGGTGTACCTCTGCCGTAATGTGTACCTCTGCCTACCCCTTCGGAGATAAAAGGCGTGAAGTTATGTTACATTTGTAAGCTGTGTATTTGTTTGGACGCGCTAATCTCAGGAACTACTGGACCGATTTGAATAATTCTTTTTGTGTTGGATAGTGCATTTACCCAGGAAGGCTATAGGCTATAAAACATAACGCTATGACCAATAGGAGCGGAGTAGCGGGTGAAACCGCTCGAGACTATGTACTACAAAATAAAACG